TTTTTGACTGTGGGAATAGGTGACAGAATAATTAGCACTGGTGATTATTCAGATCAGTTGCGTGCGTCCGTACGCTCGAGAGACTTCCGCTCGAATGCCTTTGTCCCGTTGAACAGACGTCCAACGGCTCTCTCTTATCTCTTCTCAGAAGAATCGCTTTTCTAAAGAAGAGCGCGTATAAACATTTCCCAAAAGGGCCATGTGGCCCGTCGCTAGGCCAGTCCGCCACAGGACTATAATATTTGAAACAATCCCAGCAATCTCATGATTTTAACGAGTAGTTCAATTTTAGAGAATGCGAAAACGTTGTTAGCCAAATCGGGCGTCTGCGAGTTACTATTAAAGCTTTTGGAGAAGCATAGTCCTTATTGTACAGACGAGGAAGCGAGATCTGTGTTAAAGATCGCTTGCAATTTGATCGTCCTTGTATTAACCGGAGGTACGTTTTTAAAATATAGTCAAATTAACTTAATTGAAAACTTGACATTAATTAAATTGTACAGATTTGTAATAATAAGTTTATTTATACTTCAGACTCATAGTCTATTACAAAAAAGTTTATTTTAATAGTATATTTTTGTCTTTTGCAAAATATTAATTCAGTTGTTAGTTTAAACTGGTCTAATTTAATCTGGTATAATTAATTATATGTCCAGATTTGTAGTAACTGAATTAAATTATACAGAAGATAGTAATAAATGATTTAAATTGCACAGATGACAGTATGAACAGTCTGTACGACAACAGTAACGGTGTCGTTTACAAGAAGCTGGTCGAATGGCTCGACACCGAGGACAGAGACTTGCAAATCACAGCCGTGTTAGCAATGGGCAATTTCGCGCGTTCCGATGCTCATTGTAAGCTGATGGCCACGCAGGGCGTCCACAAAAATCTTTTAAAATTATTACGGAAGAACAACACGATCGCTGGCGACATAAGATTTCAACACGCTTTACTCAGCGCCTTGAGAAACCTCGTCATACCTTCTGACAACAAATCGTTGATACTGCAAGATGGTTTGATAGAAGTTTTGTACTCGATGCTGGACATCCCGTCGCATCCAGTTGTATTTAAGCTGCTGGGCACTTTGAGGATCGTCATCGACGGCCAAAGTAATATGATACAATCATTTATATAAGCATAGTTATAATTGATTCATTATTACAGGTGAGGCAGCGATAGAATTGGGAAGGAGGCGTAATTTGATAAAGAAAGCCGTCGAATGGTGCGAGGTCGAAGACCATCCCGGGGTACAAGGCGAGGCCAATCGGTTGATCGCTTGGCTAATTAATAACAGCAGGTTCGGTGATTTCAACTTAAAAAATATTCAATAAGCTGTGGTTCAAATTTCGATGCAAATCAGCTATTTTCCAGATTTTTGTTAACATATAAATAAACGTCGTCTATTTATTTAGTAGTAATATTATTAGAATTTGTATATTTTGTCACATCAGGGATAAGGAAGTGGCGCAATTGGTAATCGACGAGAAAGCAGTAAAACACTTAATTAAAATGTTGAGCGCGCCGCATGTATTAATGCAAAACGAGGCTCTAATTAGTTTAATGATTCTGACAACGTTTTCCTTAAGTCAATGCGAAACGGTGCTGATCGAGAACCAAATAGGAGACAAACTCTGCGACTTCTTTAGGAATGCGACCTGTCTAGAAATACCAATTCTGCATAACGCTTTATCTTTAATAGAAAACATTCTCGACGCAGGTATTTAAACGAGCATTTAAAAAATTAAACAATTGGTAATTTTTTCATTTCTCATGCTGGATTTCAGATCTCGTAAAGGAGCACTTGTGCAATACTGACTTATTGAAGTTGTGCCAGGAAACGGGAACAATTAAGGACGAGTCGAAGCTTAATGAAAAGCTACAAAAAATACGTGAGAAACTCGCGTAATTAATCAAAACTACTTATATTAAAAATATATATTTGTATACGTAATTTTGGTGTGCATGATTGGAAGGCGGCCAGCTTGCAAGAGAAATCAATTAACACGAACGAGCTTCGTCGTTCAGTCAATTCGTCATTAATTAACAGAAAACGATAAAAAGCTCTAACTGTGTGTACATAGATGTAAGAAATCGACCATGCAGTATATTTTATGTGACCAATTGTGAGATTAATATTTATATAAATCCATCGAAAATCTCTATAATCAAATCATTTCGTACAAATCAAATACGCTCCCCTCTCCTCCGATCTATCATATGCACGGTGCTAAGAAATGTTTGGTATTGCCAGTCATAGACGTATCGCAGATTTTCAAAGTTACCGAAAAATTGTCCAAGGTCAAAAATGTTCCATTGTATTCTCCGCGTCATGGAGATAAAAGAACTGTGGAATAGAAGATGCCTTCCAACATTTACGACACGTACCGAAAAATTTAACGCCCTCATCTAACAACTTTCGTACCATACCTCTGTTGAAACGACCTTTTATTACGTCTTCGTACGTAGGAAATTCTCTCTGATAATTGCCCCGTTGCAAAA